AGCAGCAGCAAGTAGCATTATTATAATCATTATTATAAGTATTTGTAGGCAAACTCTTTCTATGGTCAAAGTGTTAGATATGATCTCTTGCACTAACAAGTGAACCTCTCTAGTCTTTCCTTCTTGGGTTAAACTGTTGGGAGCTGGGTGGAGGTGGGCAGGTCTGGAATCTTCTGTACAATGTACTGGCCAGGCACCCTTTGAACCCTGTTCGTGAGGTGGTCCTTTGAAACTTCTGGAGAGCTGTAATGACTGGAAAGTGGTATACTGAAGGAACATCATTCGTCCTCCTCTGAAAATTCTATTCCTTGTTTTTAGCACCAACACATTGCAATGCAAAGTTACTTCTATGTAATTCAAATACTTCAAGACAACTGGCCCATTCTTCCTTCTTCCTAAATCTTTATTTTTCCAGTGTAAATATTTCTGGCTTTAGCTGCTTTTCAAATGAAGCTATATCAAGATGCACTCTCACTCTACTGACTCTTTAAGACACTTTACGTTCTGCAGCTCTATTTGAGATGAGGCCCTGGGAACTAAATGATATTTCAAACACGTTCTTTGCATTGCAGAGGACAGGTGAACTGCCTGGGACCTTCCTTGCTTGGACACTGGACATCTATCTGCTAATATAGATTAAGTTTGCATCCACCCACGTGAGATGACTGAATCATACTGAGCATGGAGTGTATGGAATCAGTTGGAATTTTGTTTATTTTGCGTGGATTTTGGCAGTTTACTAATTAGGGTTTTGTTTCTTCATTTTTCAGTGGATGTCACGTGACATAGTGAAAAGGGGACCGGACTTGAAGTGAGAGTATTTGGACTGAATTCTTACAACAACATTCACGAACTCATTCGACAACATACAACAAGCTCATAAATTTTTTTATTTTACCTCTCTGTTTTCTCATATTTAAGTTAAGCTTGATAAAAATTGAAGATAAAGTATACAAAAGGAGTTTCTGAAGACCTGTGTAATCATTAAGTATTGTTTTTTGAAAACTTAAAGTCAGAGTCTTTTCATTAACCCCTTTTGATTCCATCATGTGATTTTTGCCCAACTATTTCATTGCTAAAAGGCTTTTGCCAAGAGATAGGGTTAGCAATTATATTATTTTAAAAATATACAAAAAATATGGTTGGACTATATTGAGAAGTAACTGGTGTTTTTTTCATGAAGAAGTAAAATTGCTTTTTTGCAAACTATAGTGATATCATTTATTTCAGTCTCAGTTGGGGAAGTGAACAATTATCCTGGTGTTCCGGGAAAGATGAGTGCCTGACTTTTTAAACAGAAATACTTCAAAGTCAGTTAATGCTTCTTAAGCAGAGATGGGCAGAGGGAGGAATGGGTGATGCTCTTAGTTCGTCACTGGTAGCTTCAAATTATGGTAATTAGACTCACTGGTCAAAGAATGTCAGACTCCCTTAAGATCTCAAGGCTGCAATTCTTGACAGTGTTTATTGTTTATCACAGCAAAACCAAGTTGCTTTGAGAACAACTTCCAAGTAGAGACTTATTGAGGGTGATAGTCTCTTGTGACACAATGGCTACAGCTATGGCTTGACCCAGGCCAAAACGAACCCAAGATGAGTGCTTTTCTAATGTTCCTGGAAGGCTGTGATTGTACCAAGGACACTGCCAAAACTCCTCCCTGCTTTGCCAAAGCCCATCAGCAGAGTAATGAATGCAGAGGTGTAGGCTAAAGTGCCCATGGCAGTAAAGAAAACCAGATTGTATTTTGTTCTAACGGCACAAATCGTGGTTTCAGAACTGTGAAAAGCCAAACCTGAATGCTCTTCTGATGACGGATTACAAAGTAAGGAAGGACTAGTTTCAAGAACATAATGTGGGAGGAGATTATATTGTAGTTTGAGAGACATCAACAATAATAAAGATGACAAAACTCTTGCTTAAAGATTAGCAGATCTACTTAGAACTTAGAAAAGCTTTGGGTTTGTTTCTACTAGGTAGTCAAAAAAAGAAAAATCATGTCCCTCTCTCACACTCTCACATTCCTTATTCCCCATCCCTCCACCTTGTCACCACCCCCCTCGGTGAGGGTAACAAGCAAACTGAGATCCTGGAACAGGATGGCGCACAATGAGGGGGTGCTATGTCTGCACAGCAGAAGAAATATGTCTCTTCATGAAAACTACTAAAGAATTACACCTAAAGGAAATAATGATTTTATTAGCAAAATCTCAGTGTACCTACGAATTTTAATACTTTTTTCAAAAATATTATAAGAAAATGTAAGTACAGAAGTTGTGTTGAAATGTCATATTTCACATGTCAGCATAGGAAGGAGAGTTAGAGATCCAAGATAATTTCTCTATAACTGAACAGTACCTGCTTTATTGGGCTTTCTTTCTTTCTTTCTTTCTTTCTTTCTTTCTTTCTTTCTTTCTTTCTTTCTTTCTTTCTTTCTTTTCTAAAGCCAGCCACCTACCATTCTCTACATCTTTACCTATACGTACTAGAAAAGCATCCATACTTTCCTAAGATGACCAGCATTTCTATCACAGATGATTGACTCAGGGACTGTTTTCTGTCATGTGAATACAGAAGCAGAGAAAGCCAGACCTTAATAAAATAAATAAAACAAACAAAAAGAACAATAGAAAATACAGAGAGACAAGAGATGGAGAGAGCATTTACTTGTTTCCCCAAAATATTAGAGGTAGACCTAGTCGTTAGTTTCTGGGGTCCACACCATAACAATTAAATCAGAATCTTTGTGGATAGAGAGCCCAAACACTGATATTTTTATAAATCTTGCCAGGTAAGTCTACAGGGAAGCCAGCTTTGAGAACCATGGTTTTAGACAGTTGCTGAGGCCCAAATGCATCTACAATGAGGGCTTGAAAGATACCCCTGTATCTGGTCAATAAATAATTCTTAGTTGATGTACTCCACCAGAATTTTAAAATATATCGTAGGTGCCATATTTCATTAAAATATGTTTTAATGCTGGGGTGCCTGGGTGGCTCAGTCAGTTAAGCAACTGGTTCTTGGTTTTGGCCCTGCCATGATCTCATGGTTTAGTGAGTTCAAGCCCTGCATTGGGCTCTGCGCTGGCAGCACAGAGCCTGCTCGAGATTCCCTTTCTCCCTCTCTCTCTCTCTGCCCCTCCCCCATACGTGCTGTCTCTGTCTCTCTCAAAATAAATAAATAAACTTTATGGAAAATTAAAAAAAATTGTTATTTATTTATTTATTTATTTATTTCAACGTTTATTTATTTTTGGGACAGAGAGAGACAGAGCATGAACGGGCGAGGGGCAGAGAGAGAGGGAGACACAGAATCGGAAACAGGCTCCAGGCTCTGAGCCATCAGCCCAGAGCCCGATGCGGGGCTCGAACTCATGGACCGTGAGATCGTGACCTGGTTGAAGTCGGACGCCTAACCGACTGCGCCACCCAGGCGCCCCCAAAAAAATTGTTTTAATGCTATGTTACATTTTGATCAGTTGTCTCGGAGAGAAATTTACAGCATATTTCTGTATTGTCATTCCTTTGACCAGAGGTTTTTGTTTGTTTGTTTGTTTTGTTTTGTTTGCCTTTCTTTTTTCAAAGGTAAAGTTTCAGGGTTACGAACAAAATATACGTAATTGTATTAGTTTAGTAGGAGTCTCAGTTTCATGGTTTTCAACACAGAGCATAAGAAACTGCAGAATTTCCCAGGTTCCATTGTCCAGAGATCAATGACTACAGTTACTTCCTAAGTGTTACCACTTTCTGCAGATGTTCAGGAACATGATGTTTCTACCACCTGTATCTGCCTTTTAAGTAGGGAACATGTAAGTTTATAGAAAGGTGGACACCAAAAATTAATGAAATTTTTATTTTTTTTACATGAAAAGTACAATCTTCCAAGTGTTGATTTTGTCAGATTTTCTTAAAAACTTCTTTTGACTCCTTTTCTCCCCTTTGAAACCTTGAGCCAAATCTTTATTGTTTTCTCATTCTTTGATGAGCTTTTCACGTATTTCTTCTGGTATTTGCTATAGATTCTTGATATACACTTCATGCACTGCAAGATTCAATCTGGTTTGGACATAATTTCTTTTTAATTTCATTTCTATAAACCCCTTTCTCTTTAACTTGGTAACTTACTCGCTATATCCAAATTAAGAAGAAATGTTCACATCACTCAGCTTTCTTACCTTAATGTCTTTCTTAATCTATCACTAACAGAGATAGATATTTATGTTTGCAAAGGGCATCTTCACATAATTTAGATTCTGCCTGTTAACATCCAGCAGTTTGCTTAGTCATAAAGTAAAGGTAAGTATTGTAAATCCAAATATTTCCCTTGATTCAAATAATAAAAACAATCATAATGCCTTCATTCTGAGATGATGATGTTCACTTTTCTTACATTCATACACAGGGGTCGGTTACTGTATTTCCTTCAAGACTCGATGCGACTGTGTATCTGGCCATCTGCATGGTTGACCAACATTCCCTAGAAGTCAGAGTGGTTTCCATCACGGTCAATGGATCTCTTCTTGAAGTACTGATTTTGTACACTGTATTAGTTTGTTTGATTGGTTAGTCATTTTTGTATAGTATATTTCAACTCTCTGGAATCTGTCATAAAACAGAACAATCAAAATTTGTTTACTAAATTTTTAATATATATATTTTTAGAACTCAACAAGTGGGGTCATATCAAATTTTACTTCTTTTACCAAAATGTTCGTTTAGCAGCCCTACATTTGGTTTTGCTATCATTGCTGTTAATGGACTCATTGGAGTCCATTGGAGTGGACTTAATGGAGTAATTGTTAGCACTCCAGAATTAATCTCATTTCCTCTTCCCTCTGTTTTAACTGTGTCTTCCTCTTTCATTGACTGAAATTTCTCTTTTGGTGCCATTCAATGAGTCAAACATTTATGGATATCTGCAAACCTTTCATTTTTTGTTTATTTTTTTAGGAGATCAAGAATCCTTTGATTAAAAGGTGGGGAATTCTTTTGTTTTCTTATAGGTGGACAGATTCACTGCTTCCAAACAGCCTAGAAGAGGAATGTATCCAAAGTAAGGAATATTTTAATGTACTCTCACACTGGGAGGAAATATTGTTTTGTAAATTTGACAGCCATTTTTGATTCTATCAGCTCAGAAATGATGGCCAGGTAATCTGAAAAAGTATAACACAGAATTAATCAAACCAGGAGCTAGAAAGATTCAAAAGAGAAGTTTTCTTTTCCATGTTGCTGAAAAGTTTCATTTGAATTACTATTCAGTTGTGAAATCTTCAACAAGTACTTATTAATTGGCTAAAGTGCCAGGATTATACTAATTCATGGAGATTCAGATGTGAAGAAACTGGGCTGGGGTGCCTGGCTGACTCAGTAGGCAGAGCATGACACTCTTGACCTCAGGGCTGTAAGTTCCAGTCCCATGTTGGGAGTAGAGATTACTTAAAAATAATAATTTAAAAAAAAAATCTTATAAATAAATAAATAAATAAAAGAAACTATGCTGATAGGAGCTTCAGTCTTAAATCATCAAAAGTTTCTTTGAAAGAGGAGCATTGGCATTATGTCAATGACAAATAAGAATAAAGATTTAAAGGTTTGTCACAGATCAAACTGGAACTTAAATGTTTGTATTCTTTTTTTGGTGTTTGTTTCCAAAACATAAAGATGTAATTTTGTTGTACTTTACAAAAATCTATTGTTAAGACTGTAAATGAAATTTAAAGCAGGAACAAAAAAATAATTTTTTTAATGTTTATTATTTCTGAGAGAGAGAGACACACACACAGTGTAAGCAGGGGAGGGGCAGAGAGAGAGGGAGACACAGAATCTGAAGCAGGCTCCAGGCTCTGAGCTGTCAGCACAGAGCCTGATGCGGGGCTTGAACTCACAGAGCGCAAGATCATGACCTGAGCTGAAGTTGGACGCCCAACCGACTGAGCCACCCAGGTGCCTCAGGAAAGATAAATTTTCAACTGATGCTATTCAGATTCTATTCTCTTTAGCTTAAATAATTTATAGTTTGAATTAATGTAACTTGGTTGCTTATTTCATAAACTTCCCCAAGCAAGTAACAGTCATTTTAACTAGGGGTGCTCCTCTTTACTTCCTTACTTTGATTCATTCTTTTGTTCTGCAAATAATTTAGTGCTAGTTATGTGTCAAGTGCTGTGCTTGGCTTAGCTCAGACTTCTTCCAAATTAATGAAAGAATCAGCACAGATTTTCTGCAGCCCAACTGGATAGTCTCTCCACTAGTCTTTCCACGAAACTTCTGCACTTGTTTTCATCTTCTGGTACATCTGACAGGTACACTCCATACAAATTAAACTGAAAGTCAGGAGGTCTGTTGGATGTACTCTTATGAAGCTATAGTGTTCCTCCTCTTGTGGTGTTGTTCAGTACACTTCTCATGCATTCAGAAATCTTAATTCTTTGGTCCAATAGGCATGTATTATCTCCCTCCACTGTAAAATGATGGACTACTATTTCCAAAGTCTTTCTCATACAATTCAATGAACACATCAATGTACTAACCTTTTTTCTTTAAGTTATTTATTTGGAGAGGGAGAAAGAGCACACTTGGATTGGGCATGGTATAGAGGGGGAGAGAGAGAGAGAGAGAGAGAGAGAGAGACTCAAGCAGGCTCTGTGCTGTCAGCGCAGAGCCTGACACAGGGCTCGATCTCACAAAGTGTGAGGGCATGACCTCAGCCGAAATCAAGAGTTGGCTGCTCAACTGACTGCGGCCACTCAGGCGCCCCATCAATGTACTAATTTAATGAGACTTGTTTTCTTCAAATTGTCTCGTAGATTTACATTTTTATTGAAATATGAGCCTTAAAGACACTTTCCAACTGTCTACTGCTGGACAAACTATTTAGGCTACCTCTCTGTGTCACATAGCCTCTCTGTTCCCTGTCCTTCCTCTGCCCTTCTCTACCAGAAAGTGTAGCAAGATTGAGGTATTTTTGAAAAATGGAAGATAACAGTAATCCCATTTTTTTTTCTTTACAGGTCAAGGATTTCGATTTCTTTTTGCTTTTCTTTGTAGATATGGTATATTCACCTAACCCCTGGAGCTTAGTAGAGGTGGAAAAGTATTAATGTGGAAGAGATGTGAAACTAAGAACTGATAATGAGAGTGAATAGCATCCCATAACACAGAGGTGCAGTGGGAGCAAGTGGAGGCTAGTTGGGAAGCAGGCAGGAATTATTGCATCATTAAGGCCACGAGGGAAATTTCTATCACCTGTATGCAACCCAGAGTCTCTTTTACCCATGGCTTCCTACATGTAAGACAGAGAGAACACATGTTTCTGAATCAGGTTTGTTATTCCTGTTTTTTTATACATTAAAAAAAATGTTTTTTTCAATTTAAGTTTAGTGCTTTCAAATGGAGGCATTACCCCACTATTTGTCCCTTAGTTTGATTTCCAAGGAACCCAAAGAGATGGCTCAGGATACTTTTAAAATATCTGTTGAATGAAATGATAACAGAATACCAATTTGATGTGTGCTTCGACTCTCTTGTTTTATTAGAACTCCAAAGGGGGGCGCCTGGGTGGCGCAGTCGGTTAAGCGTCCGACTTCAACCAGGTCACGATCTCGCGGTCAGTGAGTTCGAGCCCCGCGTCAGGCTCTGGGCTGATGGCTCAGAGCCTGGAGCCTGTTTCCGATTCTGTGTCTCCCTCTCTCTCTGCCCCTCCCCCGTTCATGCTCTGTCTCTCTCTGTCCCAAAAATAAATAAACGTTGAAAAAAAAAAATTAAAAAAAAAAAAAAAAAGAACTCCAAAGGTTGAATTTATTAGCTTTCCAAATTATGTAGGAGTATGAGCTTATATTCCTCACTGTGTAATTTCAGCTCCAAATCTTCTATAACTTTTTTAGTTTTCTGGCTCTAGATTCTCTCTTCCTGCAAAACACCTTGTGGACTTGTTTGTTTGTAGAGAAATATAAATATTTTTAATATTTATTTTAATGTTGATTTATTTATTTGCAAGTGAGCGAGCGGGGGAGGGACAGAGAGAGAGGGAGAGAGGGAGAATCCTAAGTGGGCTCCATGCTGAGCTTGATCAGTGCAGGGCTTGATCAGTGCAGGGCTTGATCTCAGGAACCAGGAGATCATGACTTGAGCTGAAATCAAGAGTTGGAGGCTTAAGGAACTGAGCCACCCAGGTTCCTTGAGATATACTTTTTTTAAATTTTTTTTTCAACGTTTATTTATTTTTGGGACAGAGAGAGACAGAGCATGAACGGGCGAGGGGCAGTGAGAGAGGGAGACACAGAATCGGAAACAGGCTCCAGGCTCTGAGCCATCAGCCCAGAGCCCGACGCGGGGCTGGAACTCACGGACCGCGAGATCGTGACCTGGCTGAAGTCGGACGCTTAACCGACTGCGCCACCCAGGCGCCCCGAGATACATTTTTTAAAAATCACCCCATGCTTTTTAGTATAATTTTACTTCAATAAAATTGAAATTCTCTTTCTTCTTGATAAATCATTTTTATTTGTGCTTCCTTGAGGTGATATTGAAATAATTTTGATTAGGGTTTCATGTGTTCCCCCAAACACTTCAGTCATTCTTTTCCATTCTTTATTGCTGTATTCTTGAAGATGCAACCCACTTTCCACTTCATGTATCAAAGAAAATTTGAATAGATGGTATAAATGAGTTCAAGCTTTTTTAAGTTGTTTTTTTTTAAATGTTCATTTTATTTTTGAAAGAGAGACAGAGTGCAAGTGTGGAAGGGGCAGAGAGAGAGAGGGAGACACAGGATCCAAAGCAGGCTCAGGCTCTGAGCTGTCAGCATAGTGCCTGATGCGGGGCTTGAACTCAAAAACCGCAAGATACGACCTGAGCCACGCTCAGGTTGGCGAAGTTGGTGCTCAACCAACTGAGCCACGCAAGCACCTTGAATATGAGCTTTTAAAATCATATAAACTACATCCATGGGCACAAAATAACACTGTCTTTGAAACCACTGTCAATTATATTTTCAACATCATAGAACATGTGAACATTCAGAAAACTAGTGAAAGGCAAACTCTCCCAATTTCCACAGAGAAAAAAGTGCAATATTGACTTATAGAAATCTTACACACACACACACACACACACACACACACACACACACACACACACA